TGAAGTTCCTGGTATCAGAATCTCTTCTGAACGTGGCGCTTTCTACTGGAAAAATTAGCACCAGGAATTCTGGCAAAGCACCAAATTTGAAGCCATGTAACACTGCCTGAACGGGAGGTACACGGCATTTTACCCAAATGCAGACGCTGCTATGTATTTGTATCGCACGGAAAAATTTTGCCATTGTCAGTTGCTGAAGTACAGAAAGTGCCAGCAGAAGAGGGAATAACTGTCGCACCTTGTAAGCGCTTTTGCCTGCCTTGCCTCCTAGCCCTTTCGCTAGCATCTCAATCCGGTACAATGCATCCGAATGACTTGGGCATCCGCAAGTTGTGCCCACTCCGCTGGCAAAAAGTGACCAGAAAAAAGCATTTAAAATCGCATGGAAAAATCCTATTCCGACCCGGGCAAAAGCTCCATGATCGATGTTATTCTTCGCTGATGGCCATTTCATACAACTCTCAAAGTCACTAAAGCAGCGCCCCTGCCCAATGTTAGCGTAATGCTTGCATTCACATCGACAGTAGGTGCCATTGGTGCTTTGCAAATACCGTACCTGCAACTTTTCTCGGCACCACATGAATGGCGCTACACCAAAAATGCTGAGCCAACTTCAACCCAATTTCGACCATGATTGTACCATTGATACGATCAGTTACTCAAACACCGCACAGATCCATACAGTCAAGAGAGGTTCCAATGGGCATTTGCGGCATTCCGTGCTCTATGCTGCACCAAATGTAACCGTCCCTCGACGTTACTGATGTTGCTACCTATTCGCAAAAGAGAACGGAGCGCCGGCCCACAACATACTCTCTATCACCTGCTGTCCCTGCAGTACCGCTTCCTCTCTCCCACTGCGATGTCAATCGGCGCCGCTCGCCTGTTCGGCCGCATCCAAAATCCCCCGCGAGGCAAGTTCTCAAATGCAGAAAACTTCTCAAATGGTCTCTTTCCGCCTCTGCCTCAAGCCCGACAGCCCGAACGGAAGCCCTTAGGGCAGCGCGGCCATGCGCTGAAGTGCGAGGCTGGAGAGGTGTTGATGGGGTGCGGGTCAGTCTGCGAACGGTGCAGCGCCACTGTCCCAGTCCTCCAATATCAAAATGACGCTGGTGCGCCCTCAAGAAGATCGCAGTGGCAGTGTTTCCTGTGACTGCGTTTGTCGGGGAGCTTGATAGAAAGCGTTGCGGAGTGCTTGTGTGTAAGCGAAGACCTCGAAATATTTGCCCAAGGCTGCCAGTGTCAACTTTCCATTACTGTGCCCCAAGTAGAGAAGGGGGGAAACACACGTCGTTTGATGACGGCATTTCATGTGAACGCTGGCTGTTGGCGTCGTCGTGATGACGGCTAAATCATCAGCATTCATCATCATCATCATCATCATTTTTTACAGAACAAGGCAATGAGGTAGCCGTCAGCTTCCTATTTTGCCTGAGCAAAGCAGTGTCGGTGATTGGTTCATTGGAATCTAAGGAGAATACAAACTAAATGTATGAACTATGAAATTTCGCTGCCTAAAAGTGATAATCGATGGTAATACATCAAACGAAGTGTGTTCGCAAGCAAATCATCAGCATTCGCAACGCGGCTGCGCAATTTGTTCCTGCCCAATCGTGTGGATCTTCATCCCGTGGTCGCAATTCTGCACGAGTTTTCGAATCTTTGAATGTCATTTCCCTGCCGTGAGGAGTACCGATAAGCGGCTACGACATTAGGAGATCCAAGTCAATGGAGTTGCCTTCATGGTATGGGCCAGAGGCTGCAAAGCGGCTGCTGGCACCACAGAAGCGATGGCGTAGCGGGCGGGTTACCGCGCCTCGAGCCTGTCAAGCGACAGACTGGATTTGAATTCGAGTGGCCGACAGTACATGCCAACATGATCAACGGCCGCTCAATGGCAGGCAATGGAAACGTTGTCGTTCAGCTCCGAGCACGGCATACCACAAACAAATGATGGCTCGATATGTGATACAACACTATATTTCAATCCGAAATTTGGCCTAGAAATTTCCTGATTTACACTGAAAGGAGAGCAAAAGCAGCAAAGTACTGTGCCGATTAGGAAAATAGGCCTGCAAATGGATTGTGCACCACACAGGACTTCACATCTCAAGTTGAATAGCTCATTTTACCTGGCTTTGCACAGCACATTATCAGCGACATGTCTTTTTAAACATGCAATAAATCATTAACGCTAGGAGATATGTTCAAGAAGTGGATAGTTGAGTGAACAATTAGGGTCAATAATTTTGAACGCAGCCGGTTTGCGCAAGGCTCCTCAGCAGCGCCTTCCGCAAGCCTGGTATGATTATTGCCTTGGTTCGCCGGACGCAATCCTAAGTATAGACATGGACCAGCGTTCTGCCGGCTTAGAGTTTGGTGTGTCGTGTAATGGATTATGCAAGTGGGAATGGGCGATCTCCTAAGCAGGAATTGATGGGTGAGTTGCATATATTTAGTTAGGGATTGCTGAAGGACGTTCAAAATTTGCCATCTGCTGAGAAGCTCGCCCAGGAGGTGATGGTTGCGCACATATGACTAGTGCATGTTATCACTTCCAAGGGCCAGACGCCATTCGCGTGAAATACCTCGTATTTTTTGCCAAATACCGCACTCGTGCGCTAATGCGCGACCTTTCATCGAGCATGGAACGAAGTCATGCTTGCGGCGGACACAGAAACTGGTGCTCCCGTGCGTAGGGCACAGACTCTGTTCACTCTTAGGGAAATCTAGAGCAAGCATGTATTGTAAATTTTTGGGCATTGCATCGCTATTTTCCATAAACACGTTAGAGGATATCCTCTGTCCCCTGCGCACAGGCACGTCAGTTGCCGTCCTTAACCCAGTGGATCCGAAGCCGCTGGAGTGTGTGGGCCGGGAGGGGGGGGGGGGGGGACACATAGCAGGTGTACAGTGCGTATCCTACCTATTAGATATGTGTCTACTAGTTAGGACATGTACTACACATGCGTCCTATACAAATATCTTCTTGGTAGAATATGTGCTACATATACCTGGCACATATCTGTAGGGGGGCACCGGAGTGGAGGCACTCCATCCAGCGCGCGTGGCACAGCCCAGAAATTCCTGGCCTGGCCATTAATGCCCAAGCTGCTCGCCCGCGCAAACACCATCCGAGCCCGGCACTGATAGTGGTGCCCCTGGCAACGCAGATTCGGTTCCGGAAGCGAGGATGCATTGCCCGATCGGACGCCATTATCTAAATGAAGCAAATCTCAGTATTCCTGCGATATCAGTACAATTTCCCCTCCAATGTTAGTCGACCATCGGCCTGCATGCTCGCACTGTCCGAGTCGTCGTGTTAGTCAGCTGCAAATCGTTGCGTGTGTGCCTTCTCCGTGGGGAAGGCCACCCCACTACTTGTGCGACAATCTTCTTAATCGCCGCCCAAGAACAGCCAACACGGATGAGCCGGACTTGGGCGTTCACATCTCCGTTTCTGCTTGTTGAGCGCTAAGGAGCCCAACTGCGCCCAACCGGCCCAGCTGGTGCTTTGATCATGACAAAGATGCTACTGTTCTTGAATTGCCCTTGTGCTTTGAGGCGATCTTCCGCTGCACTCCTGCTCGCTCCTCCAGCGTTCTTCTGTCAGTGTGCCCAAACTGAGGTGCAGTTTAAACACGTGTATGATGCGCATGGACGAGCATCCAGCGAGGCCCAAAGCAGCTACGCAAGGTGGGACGACGTTTGGCCAACTTTCCGGCGTGTCTTGCGAAGACCAGTATTTTGGATACTATTTCCCAGTTATGGTTTGCTGCGTTGCCGTATCGCTTGTCTGCAGACCGGGGCCTGCAGGTAAAATTGCCCGAGGCAGCCTCGACCCAACAAGCAGCGACCATCATTGGCAAGAAATGACGCCACAGCGCTGTTGGCAAACGCGCGTTTGTATCCACTCGGTATGTTGCGCTGTTCAAGACACACAGACCAGTCGACTACTAGGAATCTGGGTGTTTGAAGATTATACCGTATAAAGTGCGTCAAAATGGGACGTCCCATTTTGAGACTTTTAGTATAGCTGATAATGCGTGAAATGGACTGCGGTTCTGAGCCAGGCAACAACCGTTGGCAACTCTGCAGTGACCGACAATCGGTATCAAGTGTAATGAAAATTTTGTCGCCCGTGCAGTGTATCCAACTGCCTAGCAGGTGCGTCTGCTGCCAGCATGCACGCCGAACGGATGGACATGAGCGCCATTATAACTTTCCTTGTAAGGGATCAACTCATCCAAATTTTTCACGATTGTATGTGGACTGGACTCATGGCTGGCTAGGGTTGAACCGACACCCCACAAAGACGCGCGTGATGCCCCGTGGACTACAATTGGAAAGTGCTTTTGCTTGGGGAAGCACTGCTGCAAGATGCCGTGCAGAAGGCAGAAGGCTGCGGTTGCATAGAAGTTGATGGGCATTCCACAATTATAAAAAGCTTCAGGACCACAAGATGCTTGGTATTTTGAAGAGGCAGGATATTCCCCAAACCGTATATCCACCAATTCTCGTCGATTCCGGCAAATTGTATGCCTTTGGTCCCATCATTGGACGTAATTGTCTTGTCAAGGCAACCATTATTCTTGTTGGTATTGGAAATTATACTCAATTCCAGCTGGTTTTAATGCAATAAATTGTTTCCTGGGCTTCACCACCTTGGCCTCGGCTTGGCTGCCCTCACCAAGTATTGAGCAACTTAAAAAAATGATCTGTAATGCCCATAATGTCGCACGCAATGAAAATTCCCCTGGACACCAATTCATCAAGTCAATTGTGACATCAAATGTTACAAAATGTTCGCTCCGACACTACATGCAACAAAATCCAGACGTGCAAGATTGCAAACACATGCACACGCATGATGAGAGGCCGATCATGTGCATTAAAATTGAATTAATCGTTTGATGGCCCACACTGATGAACACCTTGCGCTGCGCTAAAGTAGATGACCGTGAAAGCCTAACCTAATCTTTCCATCACAGCCTAATCCATCAAAGCGCAGGCCCTTCCACATAAGCAACGGTCTCCACTTGTCCTGCAAAGTCCAAGCCCTTTGGCAATTCCAAATGCGCCAATTTTGTCAGCTTCTCAATGTGTGCCAAACCGCTGCCTGTTATGCTGCAGCCTGCCAGGCAAAGGTGTGTCAAGGATGGCATTTTTCCAATGCGCTCTGCGCCTTTGTCTGTTACAGAATGGCAACCCATAATGTTCAAGTGTTGTAGGTTTGTCAACTGGCACAAATGCTCCAAGCCCTTGTCTGTTATGAGGGAGCAGCCAGCCAGATCCAAACGCAGTAAACACTCCAGATTTCCCATTTGCTGCAAGCCTTGGTCGCTGACGAGGCAGCAGCATCCCAAGTCAAGGTGCGAAAGACATGCCAGTTTCGTGATGGGCTCCAAGCCTCCGCCTGTGATGTCGCTGCCATAATACAAACCGAGGCGCTGAAGTCCTGTCAACTTTCCCACATGCTTCAAGCCATCACTTGTCACACTTGAACAGCAAGCCAGACCCAAATCCTGTAGAGCATGGAGTTCGCAAACATGTTCCAAGCCTTCACTGGTAATTCTGATCAGCTTTAGCAAATCCAAATATGTCAACCTTGTGAGGCGGCTAACATGCCTCAGTCCGCTGTCTGTAATTTTTTGGCAATCTGACAAGTCCAGATGTGTGAGGCTTGACAAATGAGCAACGTCCATCAGGCCATTGTCAGTGACTTCAGAACATCCTGAAATGTCCAACCTGGTGAGGCACGCAAGCCTCCCCAGGTGCATCAAGCCACTGTCTGTGATCCTCCCATCGTGGACAACTTGCCTGACAATTGGCCTTGCCAACACCCCCTTGGGCTCCAAACCTCCCATCCGCATTCCCAAATGCTGCAAATGGTCACACTGCACATGCCTGAGGCAGCTGAGCACATTGAATTGCTGCAGATTTGTGAGCCGGCCAACTTGACTCATGCCCTCATCAGTGATTTCAGGGCAACTCAAGGAACAGACCCTCGTGAACTTATTTGCAATGGCATCCACCACCAGATCCCAAGAGGATGGCATTCCTGACTGAGATGGATCTCCAAAAACTGTAACAGAGGTGACCATTTCTGATACCCATTTGCACCAATGCCGGTTTACTAGGCGAAGCCGCTGCACCGTTGTTGCTTGGCCATGTGTAATGCTGTCCATTGCGCCTTTCATACGGTCGAGCACTCTGCAGGGCAGGTGGCCCCAATCTGAATGAATGAACCACCTCTGGCCCTGGTGGAGAGAGCAATGCAAAAATAACAATGCATCAACCAAACCTTAGGGATAACCAGCGCATGCTCCATGCAAGATGAGCAGAGTGCATGAACCCAGTCCATGATACTCAGAGTGCAAAAATTATCTCTAACAAAAACTATACTTTGGTATGTTGCAATATTCCATCTCAGTCCATTTACAAAATACATGTATCGAATTGGCCGAACATCTTCCACACAATGTGCAGAAAACGATGCCTTCCTCAGTGCATGAACAATTCTACCAGCAAATAGTTCATGCATTCCAAAACAAATCGCCACAACTATATTAAAACCACCAACTTCCTGCAAATCATTCTTTCTATTTTAGGATGCATATTGCATAATTGAAACTTTCAAATTTGAAAGCCATTCTCCAATTATCAAATTGAAAATATGAGTTTGAAATATTTGACCACAATTTGACACAGCATAACTCCAATCCTGCAAGAGTGCATTGTCCTGGCTTCACCGAAATCATAATTTTGGATAGGTCTCTCCAATATGCCATGTCTAAAAGAATGTCAAAATCATCATACATAGGTAGGATTCTGAAAATCAGAGTGAGAGGACTGATCAATGTTCTTGCTGAAGGTGTCAATGTTTTTAACAAAATGAGCTCAGCAGCTGCTAGAAGAAATGCAAAGAAGGCAGTGGGGTTTTGCCATCAAAAATGGCATCATGCTAGTGCAAGAGGTGCATGCAATTTTCAATATGGACTATATATTGCCATATTGCACTGTCCTTGTTGGCAACACTGTGAGGCCACAAAATGAGCAATAATTTCTCTCTCTGATTTCCCTGTGGGGCAATTGTTCATTACTTGTCAATCAACCAGAAATCATGATAGGGTTATAGCAATGTCAATGTGCTTTTCTGCAACGAGGTCGTTGATGTGCTTCCTGTCAATGTTGCTGCAATATCCATGCGCCAATACCTTGCTATCAACAATGGCCGTGACAGGATGCACTTGGCCATTGATAGAGGGCATTGGACTTCATGATCAGTAGCATCACCAGCATCAGGAACACCAATGCATCGGAGCATTGATGCACAAGAATTGCAGCAACGTTGGCAGTACATGCACCAATAAACCCATTGCAGGAATGGGAATCAGTGTTCTTGTAACTCTATCCCGCTTTCAAGGATGACAACAGTATGGAAATCATGGCCTTAAAGAGGAGCAAATGCATTGTGAATGGCGTCAAAATACAGAAACAGAATTCCCGATCAAAGCATAACACCCAAGTCTTTGAGTCATGGCTCCTCACTCACCACATTCTCCCCAGATTCTGGCCCGTCAATGTCCATACGACGAGCCGATGATTGCTCAAGTGCGAATCTGCTGCAGTCCCCACATACTGCAATCAATAACCACTTCATTCAATCACAATGTTCGCAAATTGCGCAATGCACATCTTACAACAAAACGAACAGTACTCCTTTATGCAAAGGAACAAGTGCATGTTCAGGTGAGCACAACGCCCTGTTTGACAGAATTGAATGCAGTAAAATGTATGCAATTCACCAATGCCATAATTTGCAATAAAAGTGAAACAGTTCGTCAATTAAGCCAAAGCGAACCATTAAGTAATCTTGTTTCATGAACACCAAAGGAATTGCAGCAAAGGATTTTGCCAATCCAATTGCTAGAACCTGACATGATCGATTACAAACCTGGTGATATTTCTGCTTCGTGTCTGATAGTCCCTTTTGCAAAGCAGACAATGCGCATTACTGAAGGGTTGCATGCGGACTTAGGAACTGAAAATAGATAGAGTAATGCTACCAAATGCGTACACGCACATCATCGCCTGCAAAGTACAAGCGCCCGGATTTTTCTTTCAAAGCCAATGCGAACAAGGAATTTACCAGTTACTGTGCCCAAGATTCCCGGGTTTGCAATATTAGCGCACAGAGTGCTGCTGATCATATGTGAAATTGATAATCTTCAATGAGCCGCTCTGATGCCTCAATGCTCTGAATGCTTGCTGGACTGTGATCTTGGACTAAGAGTGCAACATGTATGGGGCAAGACGGCTGCCTCATTTGGCATAGTAATATAATGGGGTCATGTTAGTGTGGCTACATGACAGGCCCCGACAACAGCTTTCCCTCTGGAAATATGCAAACAATTTAGATATTTTGGCTGTTGTGGATATTTATAGGTATGCTACAGTGGCCAACACAATTACACAATTAACAAATAATTCTGCTGTCCCATAACAAGTGTCCCCAATTTGGAGTTGCCTTATCATTACATAGGCTATACCAAATAATTAAAACGACATTTGATTTGGAAAGGCCATGTGCCGAAACCCCAAGGGCTGCTCAAAACACGAACAAAATTCTTCTTGCTCTGCATTTTAGAGTGGCCAAAAAGCATATATCTGGGTAACAACATCTGACTATCTGCCGACAATCGCCGATTGACGAACCCTGCCCCCAGGCTTGGTTTTTGCATTTGCGTGCACGTCTTTACTTTTATGTTCCTATGTATAAAAACGCAAATTTGCAAAAGGGCCTATTTTTATGGCTGTTTTTGCGTTTTTACGGCTCCCTAGGACACCTAAATTACATGATGAAAGTTGCATACAATGATCAGTCATGCGCCATTTCCAGCACCTGCAACACAATGTCCACCTCGCCTTTGTCCAGGGTGATAATGGCATTTAACAAAAACTCGTTTTCTGCCCCTTCTATGGCGTCTGGCTGCCACTCTCCGGATCCCTAAGTCTGTATGCACTGTCTTTATGTACACCAGGCAGTTTTTACGTTGTGTTTACGCATTTCTACGCATTTTCACGCATAAAAACGTAAAAACCATTCTTACGAGTAAAAATGTAAATACGATCAGTTTTTACGGCGTACAAAACAAGCCTGCCTGCCCCATTAGGATGACTGCACCCACCATCAGAAATGGTATTACGAATTCTTGGGGCATGGTCTTGCACACTGCTTGAAGAGACCTCTCTATCCATAGTGATCTTGGGCTGGCTTGTGCAAACCGTGAAATTGAGCCCTTTCTGACTGGAATTGTTGATCTTCGCAACATTGGCAGTTTTTCGTTACATTGAGTTGGAACTGAATATTGGACAAAATACACTGCACTCATAGCTATGAATTCAGGGGAACATTCGTGAAAAATTGATTAGATTTCGATGTAGGAATGGTGGTGGAACATCATAGGGGGCATTCGTCGTGGGATAGAGGATCAAAATATATTACTATGCTGCACAATATGTGATGCACAAAAATACATGGCACGTTGCACACTCATTAACAAAACAAAGGGATAAACTATAAAAAAATACCCGTAGCCTCCAAACGCCGACACCGGCCGTGCAGTAGGGAGGCAGTCACAATCACGCTTGATGTTCTGTGATCCCCAACCCACACCTCAAATGTCCGCAAATGCTCCAAATCGCCCATTCGCGGCGCGTTGCGCTCACAATAGACAATAAAACATCAATAGCACAATAAAAAGAGCCCCCATCAATAAAACAAAGCGCCCATCAACAAACAAAGCGCCAAATTCAATATAAAAAGAAACTGCCCGTAGCCTCCAAACCTCAGCACCGGTCACATGGCAAAGAGGCGGTCACAGGAAGTAATAGTACTGCCTGCACCAAATCGGTGGTTGCTTGCACCAAATCACGTGCACGCTATGTCCCAACCTCAGTTTGAGGGTTAGGTTTAGGTATGGGTCAGGGTTGGGGTAGGTTTGTTTTTGGTTTTTAGGTTTTAGGGTTTAGGTTATGTTAGTTTTGGAGGGATTTGATGCAAGCAGTCACCGATATTCTGCAGAAAGTCACCGGTTTGGTGCAGCCAGTAATTGTAATCCCAGCCACAGCCCGGTATGATGATCCGCGATCCCCAGCCGAAACCTCAAATGTCCGTAAATGCTCAAAATGGCTCATTAATGGCGCCCCGGGCCCACAGGCTCCAGTTGGTCCCAGACAGGACGTGGCCGAGGCTGTGGAAACTACGGTGCCGGCCGAACGCCGGCGAGCCCCAAAACGGGCGCGCAGAGCGCAGCGGTGCACAGCGCTGCCTGTTTCCGATGTAGGCGGCATCGCCGTGCCGTTTTCTCGGGACGCGATCAGCCGCCAGCAGGTCAGAAGCGAGGGTCACAGGTAGGGAGCCCGGCCCCTTAGCGTCCCAACGACCGCGGCCCCCCCAGGAGGGGCGAGCCCCAACGAACTGGCAATTTCGGCGCACCTCGCGGATGGAGGCCTTTTGAGAGGGCGCATTGTCCGGGTAAATCACCCCGGCAGCTTGGACGGCTCAAGACACTGCTCGCATCGGCCGCTTGAGCATTCGGCTGGCTGGGAGCAGCGCGCCGCCAATCCCGCGCTCTCGCCTTCGGAATCGCGGTCCTCGGCGGCCACCACACGCCGGCAACCGCTCCCCGGCATCTGTTCCCGCGAACCGGGTACCCCCCGAGCGCACCGCCGCCGCGGAGCGCGAGCCATGCCGTCAACAAAAACAGAGATCCGGGACCTGCCAAACCTCCGGAGGTTCGGATCCGATGCCCGCCCCCGGGTCTCGCGCAAGGCGGCGGGCCGATCGACCAGCCCAACCCGCGCCAGGCCAACGCGCTCGAGCGCGCCCCAAAGGGATGTCAGTCAAAACGCGCCATCAAGGAAAGCTCCGGCCCACTTCCGGCGGCGATGTGCACCCTTACGGTATACGTGGGCTGCCCGCTCCCCGCCTTTCCCTCCTCGCAGCCTCTCCAGCTGACCACGCTGCCAAGCATGCGCGCCGTGGACAAGGTCCTCCACCCCGTCCAACCCTGACCAGGCACACGCTCCCCCCCCCGCCGTCGGCCCAGCGGCCCCTCGGGCGCAAACGCCGCTCAAGTATGCGCCCGATGGGACACCACGGACGAGTACAGGTTCCATCAGCTGCCGTACTTAAGGGCGGGCACCGCCCTTAAGGGCAGCGGTTGGCACTCCTGCGTGTGCGCAAGAATGCATACAATGTCCCGTTGTGTGCAACGTTGTTGCGCCGCTTTCTGGAATGGTTTGGAGGACATATGAGCTGAAAAAGCGAGGGTCCCTGGGAGGAATGCGGAGCCGCTCATGAAGTGCCACCATTTCATTGGTTGGCTCATTTGCCACCGTGGTAATTACTTATGGTGTAAATACTCGTGCATTTCTGCGTATGTACACGCAAAATACTTTTCACGACTTGACATGTAAATAGGCGGCAAAATGTGCAAAAATGGACCTTGTGTGCGTATACACGTTATATACAAGGTCGGAGCCTTGCGCATTGCAGGCATGGTGCTCCTACGGGGTAATCTGGCCAATGACTAGTAATGGACATTTGTGGTTTGTGGAATTAGAGAAGCAGCTGTCAAGCAGGGCTGCCAACAAATTTATCAGAAGTGTTGCAAATCTGAGCACCACCAATATACCTTGGGAGCTACATTAGTAATGGTAACGCATGCGAAATCTGAAGAGCACATATGTCCCCTAGGTGTTGTAGTTTATTACAACAAGAATCATGTTGTACACATTATATATTGGTTCAGATAGCCCGGGGAGAGGCAGGCAGGTGCCATGAAGTTGGCGGAAAACCACCTTTTGTTCAACTAAGTTGTTAGTCTTCCCGACAGCGAGCTGGACACTGTGTTGTGGGTGCTTGAGGGGGTGGAGGACTGATTATATTTTGGAACATCGTCGCTATGACGAAAACCACAGCACTCGCACTGACAGTCACTCCACAAATGTCCAATACTCTTCATTCCCAGACATGAAGTCATGAAGGTCATGAAGGTTATAAAGGTCATGACATCATGAATTAGTTAACTCGTGAAGTTCACAAAGGTCACGAAAGTCAGTTTTGCGTTTAGGTTATTTTATAATTTAGAATTTTAAGTCTCTAGATCTAGTACCCTTCATTACCTTCATGACCCCTTCATAACCTTCATATCCGGTAATGATAAGTGTTGGACAATCCTCGGTCACTCCCATCTTTGGGAAGCCAAGTTGTAACCAGATGCATTATTGTTTGAGTAGACTAGTCAAATACCATTCATTGCAAACGCGCCCAATTTATGTCTCCATTGTCCCCATGTACGTGTCGCCTTAATTTAACATCATATTTACCATATCGAATTCCACACCATAAATCACCGTATACCACATAAACACTTGTTAACCTCTTTCTCGTCCTCACAATCATGTAACCTGGGGTTGCTGACGAGCCACAACAATGCACAATGGCTGTTTCTCTATTTGCACTTGTTTATGGGCAAAAACTTAAATGTGAAAGCGATGTCATAAATGTAACTAAATGTGATTGCCTCACTCACAGTTCAACAATGTCATTCTAGCATGATATTTCACGATTTGCGCTTGCCAAGATCTTTGTAG